AAAGCAGCTGATATGGGAAATATTGATGAGATTGATGGAAAATATACAAGCCTTATATATATGCAAGAGCTGCCAGGTGAAGTGGTTAAGGTATTCCGAACTATAGTCGAAGATTACATCGATGAAGATAATGATAAAGACTACCACCTTGTCAATCAAATGTGGAAAGTAAACCATAGGATAGAATGCATCAACTAAGAACTAGAAGACCTATATAATCATTATGAACAACAACAGATAGAATTGGTTCAACAGTAGAATATCAAAATTTATGGGGAAACAACGTAGCCCTTACAAAACAGCTATCTGAATATACTTGACCTCGAAACAGATAATGGTGCAATAGGAACCATAGATATTAATAAAACATATCAAATTGATGAATTCTATTGGGATAATAACGAATTGGTGTTTGAAGAAAGTGAAGACTAGGACTCAGGTTATGCCCATAACTTCCACCTGAGTCACAGTAAATGCTAGTGAAATACTAACATTAATGAAGAGATGTTCTATGGTACCAGAATTGACCCTGAAGATCCCAAATAGCTTCTGTCCTTAGACGATGAAGCAGAAATAGACTGGAGCTATTAATACTTAGGATAAAAACAAAATTAAAATAACATCAATAATATGTAGATAAATATCACAAAAATAATTACATATTTTTTTTTATATCAAAAAAAAAAACTTAGCTTGGCAGACCTGATAATAGAGTGAGGATAGTCAGGATGGGATAGGGTGAGTTGTGGGGCCCTATTTAAAAAGACAATAACCATCAAAAACTCAGTTAAGATTTTGAGATCCCATGGGATGTGAAATCATGTGATCCAAAAATAAGCAGTAGACCTGAAAAATAGAAAGTGGTAGATATTAGTACAAAAAAAAGAGAGAGAAGTACAGTATTGGAAAATATTGTTAAAAGAAAGATACTTATCCAAGCCAAAATAATTAAAATTACCAAAACTCAGGTCTCTAAGACTAAAAATCCAACATTAAAACCAATTCGCCCAGGTAGTTGGTATCCTGGCAGCTCTTGCATATATATAAGGCTTGTATATTTTCCATCAATCTCATCAATATTTCCCATATCAGCTGCTTT